AAAATATGTCGCTGAGATACCCCAGCCTGGCTACCCATTTCTTATCCTGAAATAATGGGACAGGTTACTTTTCTTATCAATTAGAAAGAGCTCGACTTCCTTTCGGAGTTCATATAACCTCTTGAGAACTTTACCGCGGGACAGCCAACGAACTTCCGAATGGAAAAGAAGATTTTGACGTCCAGAGCCCATTTCATCGCACAATGCTTTTAACAGTCTTGTATTTAAAGCACTCTCTTTTATATAATTAATAATCTTAACAGATTGAGACAGGACNATATCTTCAAGTGGGCTGCAATAATATCTGAAACTGAATTCTGTGAATAGAAATCATCTGCTTCCATAATATAGTCCGAGTACGACTGAAACATTTCATTGTTACCTTCTGCAATCATATCAAGCCAGAGTTTCAGTTTCTTTTTGAATGATTTGATCTTGTTCCACACATTAAATATTGTTGTATCTGGACCTTGAAGTTTAAATTCAACTCGTTCATGTAAGAAAATATGTCGCTGAGATACCCCAGCCTGGCTACCCATTTCTTATCCTGAAATAATGGGACAGGTTACTTTTCTTATCAATTAGAAAGAGCTCGACTTCCTTTCGGAGTTCATATAACCTCTTGAGAACTTTACCGCGGGACAGCCAACGAACTTCCGAATGGAAAAGAAGATTTTGACGTCCAGAGCCCATTTCATCGCACAATGCTTTTAACAGTCTTGTATTTAAAGCACTCTCTTTTATATAATTAATAATCTTAACAGATTGAGACAGGACTTGATTAAGTTCAGGTGTCTTTTTTTTTGGGAGGCCAGGTTTTGCCTATGAATGTAGCAATGCGTTGACGCTAAGTTATTGCCCGCCATATCTTTAATTTTAGTGACCAAACCTGAATTTTTACCTGTAAGACAGGCAGCGCCTTCAGTGCAAATTCCAAAGCCATTTTTCCATTCGAGACCTTCCTCTTCAATGAAACCATTTAAAACTTTGAAAATTTCACTGCTGGTAGTGTGTGTAGGTAATTCAGAAACACTTAAAATGTCTTCCTTCAAGTCACTCTCGTCACGGTCAATATATCGTACATAAGTAAGTAAAACGCTGCTGTTCTGAATATCTGTAGATTCGTCCAGTTTTAACGCAAACAATTTCGATTTTTTAATTTTTTCAATGACTTGCGTTTCTGTATTTTGTGCCATATCAGATATCCGCCTACCAACTGTATCATTCGACAATTTGATGTCTTTCATTTTACTTGCCGCAGACTGGCCTAATACTTCATTACAAGCAGCAATCAAAGAAGGCTTAATGAGTTCTTCCCCAATGGAATATGGGTTTTTACATTTAGCTATCTGTAGTGATATAAAATAGGATGCCGTCAGAAGTGAAGTGTCAATGGTTGAAGCTTGTTAAATAATTTCCTTTTCTACTATAAGTGCATCTCTTTTACGCACAAAGAATTCAATGGGTTTGTTGACTAGATCGGAATGTCTTGTGTTGAGATATCGGGTAGGTCCCGATGGCTTCATAGCTTCATTTCCCAGAACAGTAGCACAAATGACACATTGAGGTCGTGGCAACTGGTCAGTGTTAGGGCATTGTATGAAACCAAATTTTAAGTAGCTGTCCATGTACTTACGAATGGACGCAGACTTTTTCTTCTGTGTGCTGGTGGTTTTCCCTTCATTTTGTACATCCTGGAGATCGCTATGTAGGCTTGAGGTGGATGAATCACTACTTGTTGCGTCACTAAACACTTTCAATACGAGATTTCTTAACACCAAACTTAAACAAAGTCCCCTGTCTCTTATTCACTTTAAAATTTAAATCACTCAGGTTTCGAAACAAGCACTTACACACTGCAATGCGAACTTGCGAAGAAACAGTGTTCAGAATTACTAGATTTGAAAACCGGATACAGACTGTCATGGTCTTCAATTTCAGTGGAAACAGTTTCTTTATACTTCCTTGCTGACTGGTCACTGACATTTGCAACACAGATTTTATTTCGCTCACTTCTGAGAACAGAGGATATGACGCCCATTGTTGTAATCGGCTTGCAGGCAATATTTATGACTGGTCATAAACACCGGTATTGCCTTTCCCGAAGGTTGAAAGATTTGGTTGTCTGAAAATTCCCGATCATTCATGAATACTTCCATGTTTAGAAATATGCGGCTTGGTCACTGACATTTGCTACACAGATTTAGGTGTTCTGTGTTTGAGCTTCTCGACACAAATATTGTTCTCCTCTGAATATTTCCACTGTAAAATATTTATTCATGAAAAATGCTTAGAAAATGAAAATGGCAAATTCCAGAAGAGCTTCTCGCGGCCCAGTATAATTGATGCCAGAGTCCACTACTGGGCCCCGGCCAGGCGGTTGAGAAGCATGGCACTAGACCATTCAGTTCGGTGTTCCTACGTCTACATGTGCCAGCTCCCTTCTGTGCTATCTACGTGCAACTCATCTCTGTCCTCATACGTCCCCGGTCTTGTATAGACATTATTTCTCACATTTTCCTGAAGTTTGTGCCGATGTATTTCTCTCATTATTTATATATCTATTAATTTAATTAGTGATATATTCTTCAAGAAGGTTGGAGAAAACTGCATAATGAGGAGTCTTATTAATTTTACTCTTCTCGAAGTATAATTAAAACGATCAAGTAAAGGAGGATGAAGTGGGTAAGTCATGTAGCACAAATAGAGGAGAGGAGCAATACATGTAGGATACTGGTGGGAAAGCCAGGTGGAAAGAGATCACTGAGAAGACAAAGACATAAGTGGGTGGACAACATTGTAATGGATCTCAGAGAGACAGAATGAGATAACATGGATTGGATTGAACTGGCTCAGGATAGGGACCAGGGGAGGACTCTTGTGAACACAGTAATGAACATGAGGGTTCCAAAAAATGCTGAGAAGAACTTTAGCTGCACAACTGGCAGCTTCTCAAGAAGGGCCCAGATCCATGAGCGAGTCATGCTTTCTGCCATGCTCTTTCGTCCTGTATCGTATTGCCAGATACCTGTGTTGAAATATAATGTGTATATAATTTTATATCATCTCATTCCCTTTGTGGACATATATTGGGACATATAGACCCATTGTCAGGGAACGACTCAGTAAGCAAGCACGTAACAAATACGCAGCCAACAATAGATAACGTCCAGTGCTAGGCAACGGATGTTTTCTGTGGAGCCACCTCGAGACTATATAAATAATACAGAATAGAATCAAATCAGAAAGAGATTGTGAATGGAGCGAGTCCTCGGCAGTCCAGAAAGGAGGGTTGGGCTGAAGATATATTGTAATTTAGTATGATTAAAAGAGATTGTAAAAGAAAGTGTTAATAAATAAAATCATCCAAGCCGAACCCCGTTTATTATTAGTCACGCAGCAATAAACACGTGATAATATTGTCACTTTTTGAGCGTGACTATAGACGGGGTCTGGATTGGAGATTGGATTTATTGGCCACTTTAACACACGACTCATGACTACACTTAATTAAAACGCCATTGCTAATCATGGCACTTTCCTAATCAATACAGCATATGCTAAGTCTTCACAGTCTGCTTAACTTGTCGTTTCCCGGTAACAGATCTTAACAATGGAGATCCTTCTAACTGCACCGACTATGTCTTCTCTTCACAGATTCCTTACAACTCTGAAATCTTGCTCCGAATTTCCTCTTGTAACATTTCGTCACGGATCGCACAGAAAACATCTTTATTTATTTTATACTCCAATCGCTTCCGTGAGAACATGTTTGTCTCAGAAGGCGTTACTCAGTAGCGGCTGAGTATATTTGCTTACTAAATACCTGTTGCCTAGCAGCGGATATTGTTTCAGTGTTTGTTTCGATGTCGTTACTCAGTAAAAGATCTACGCGCTACAATTCCTATTCGTTTTACAGGCCATGATCCGTTTCTTGGTAGTTCCAAAGTGAATGAAATGTGCGCTTATATGAGAAAGTCATCGGTCCGTTTTTCTTTGATGAGAATATACTTATAAGTAATTCATTTTTGGACATGCTGGAAAATTATGTTCTGCCACAACCCGACAACAACTATCTTATTCTTCAATTGGATCGCGCCCCTTTTCATTTTCCTCATACTGTCCGTGACTGAACTTGAATTTCCTAGGTCGATGGTTAGGAAGAGGGGGACCAATCGTGTGAAATCTTCAGTCTCCTGATCTTACTCTTTGGACTCCTTCCTTTGGGGCTATGTAAAAGACCAGGTAAAATTAAGGTAAAGCTATCCCTGTAACAGGCCGTGGAGACTCATATGGTTGTGAGACGTCGAGGCTCTCACATTTTCTCTAGAAAATCGGCTCACAGATGGCTGTGAGTTTGCCAGCCCTACACCCCGGCCGCCCTTTGCCCAGAGGAAGATTCCTGGTACTCATTTCTGTCAGAGGCTGAGTCGACCCCAAGGCCTTAGTGCGGCTGGAAGGATTACGCCAATTGGAAAAATTCAGTGTCCTTATCGGGAAACGAACCGGCGACCTTCCGGCTTGTAGCACAGTACCTAAAGCAACTACGCTACCTCGTTCCCCAAGAACCAGGTTTACAGCCAAAGTGTCAACAAGCTGAATGAACTCAAGGCACGGATGGCTGCAGCAGTTACCAGTTCTAACATACGATATGTTACAAGTCATTTGACGAAAGGTGGGTTGCATTCAGGCCTAGAGATGGCGCTCACAGTGAAGTGTTTCGTCCCAGAAATTTGTCTACTCCTGTGCATGAGAACTGTTACAAGTGAAAGACAAAATACTGCAAAGAGCACCCTCGTATCTATTTTCGTTCCTACACTAAAGATGCCTGAAATCCCAGGTTATGATTGGTCAAATTTTGTATCATTATATGGCTTATGTGTTCTCTGTGTCTATACATGCCTTCTCATGATACCTGTACCGATGTTTGGCCTGTGGCGCTGTGAAAATTTTCGTGTTACGTCTGTGCGATCCCTTGTCACGATTATGTTTCTGCCCAGGACCTGGTGCTGGCTGGCGCGAACGACAGCAACAACTGGCGCAGCATCGTACTGTCGCTGCTGGTCATCGGCGTCGTGATTGTGGGCATCCTGACGGCGATATATTTGCTGGGCTACGTGGACGAGATGCTGTACTGGAGTGGGCGACGTATGAAGCTGAGCGAGTACCTGCAGGGTGACCTCACGCCGCGACGCATGCCGCCTGTCTGGATCTCGCACACACATTTCGTATTCCAGACAGACGATGGTGCGCTCGCCTACCTCGACACCAGCAACGACACGGTCTCTCTCCTCGTCACGAACCACACGCTGGTGAGTCAGGACACTTGGTCATCCTTGTACAACAGAGCCACAGCTTAAGAAACAAACTCCGTGGCCTGTAGTCGGCAAGCGAATTATACCGATCGAGCGACCGCCGCTTGTCGGCGAAGTTAGTGCTACCTTTCGCGAATAGAGGGTGTCGCGTGGTAAGTGCTACGGATTCCCACGGCAGTTAATATCGGTCTTCTACACCGAAGACCACAGCTAAAGAACTAGAATTGTACAAGGCTGCCATTTGAAGTCTTGTACTATGTGTATAAATCCAGGTATGCTGGCTGTTACACCTCAGGGGGGAGGGGGTGAGAAATAATAATTACTTGGGTCTGTCGTTACTCATTTCCTACATCGGCGCTACACTCGGCTGCCGTCGGCTGTCTTAGCTATGGTAGCTCGGGATCGGTCGAGGACAGGATGGTTACTGGCGGGTGAATCAGAACTCCCTGCGTACATTTTCTACTATGTACACTNGTCATATATTTGTAGATTTGTTAATTACAGTTCCATAAAAATAAGCCTACTCATAAAATATCGGCCTAGTTACATTCTTCCACATTTAGGTAAAATTACTTCTCACATATTGTAACAGATATTCTTAGTATCGCAATGTACAAAACTATCCCTGTAACAGGCCGTGGAGGCTCATACAGATGTGAGACGTGGAGACTCCCACATTTTCTAGGAAGTGGACTTACAGACGGTGGTGATTTAGTCAGCCTTACGCGCGGGCCACCATTTATCCCCATGAAGATTCCTGGTACTCATTTCTAATAGAGGCTGAGTCGATCCTAGGTTCATAGTGCGGCTGGAAGGTTTAGGTCAATTGAAAAATCCAGTGACCTCATCGGGAATTGAACCCGCGATTTTGCGGCTTGTAGCATAGTGCCTCAACCAAATGCTTATTTATTTTATACTTCATATAATGACTGCAGTAATTCGGACTATATAGCGTCAAATGGTGTGATCATTAATAGTTAATAATTAATTGGGGAAGTATGGAAAGAATGGCCTGAAGGTAATATGAGGAAATGTCCGGGAATTCACCGGGAGGAACAGAGGAAAACCACTAAAACTTTAAGATTATGATAACCGATATTCGAGCTGAGCTTGGAAACCGAGATTTCTAAAATACGATGCACGAGTTCTATTAGTTCGACAGTAACGATCTGTAATATTATTGTGTCCTTACTTAATATATCCTTTTATACTCTAAAAAAATTATTCGTTATTGCTTCTCACAGCTTCTTCCTGTGTACTTGTATAACTACTAATCACTTTGTAATTAAAACATTTATTACATTATACGCAATTGCTCATCTTAGAAAAGCAAAGGAAAACATAAGCCCATGCTAGAAATAGTGACACATTCGAAATTTCGTATGCATCATTCCAAAGATGGGCTGTGTCAAATGTACGTACTTCTTCACTTCCGTCTTATGCTTCTATCTTTGATAATTTTAAATATGATGGCGCTTGTTCTTTCTGTACCTCACATATCAAAAACACAACAAATACAAATAAATCCTCGAAGTTTACAAATGAATTCGAAAAGAAAGATACAGTTGAATAATTCAACTTGAACTCTTAGTACAACAAAGCTCATGTCTCGATCCAAACACAAATCAGAATGCAATTGAAAGGAAAGTGAGTTCGACCGAGTTCGACTGCGGAAGGCCTTGAAGACGCAGCTCGGATAACAGTGCGCCTGCGCACTTTTCTCTGCCTGTTGCAGTACAAAGGACTTGTAAGCTCGCCAGGCAATGGGCTTGCACTAACGTGGATCAGTTCAATCTACAGATTGAGTCTAATTTACTGTCAAAGTTTCCGTGGTGTATAAGTTTCAAACCCTACGTGCAACGAAAGGCGCGTAACTTTAAGTTGTTTACCATTCTGCAGTATTGGTTCTACAGGTAATAAAACTTTCTGAGTTACAATTTCATATTTCATAAGCAGTTTTATTATGTTCTAATTGTTCGAAAATTATTAGCCAGTAAATCTCGACAATAATTTAGAATCAACCTGTACTATATATATCCTTACATCTCTCATCAGTAAAAACAAATTTAAAATTATCCTGCTCACCTACATCATCATCTGCCAAGTGTCTTCTTGCTGTGCTTCCCTGCATTCATTCATTCATCAGTAACCTGTCAAGACGACAGGTCCACAGTCTCTTCCAAAACAGTTTCTCCACTTGATGCGATCTAGAGTTTTCTCCTTCAAATGATAATATCCTCTTCTGTCCCCAAGGTCATCCAGCATCTTCATACGTCTTCTTCCTCGTCTTCTAGTCACTTCTATCTGCCCCTCTAACTTTCCTTCAATAACTTCTTTTAGAAGGCAGTTACCTCGTAAGACATGACCAATCCAATTAGCCTTCCGTTTTCTTATTTCGTGTAGGATATTCCTCTGCTCACTGACTCTAAATAACACTTCTTCCTTCCTCACATAATCGGTCCAACTGATCTTCTCCATCCTTCTCCAACACCACATTTCTAAGCTTTCCAGGTGTTTCTGATCTACTGCCCTAAGTGTCCAAGTTTCAGCCCCATACAAAGCAGTGCTCCAAATTTAGCATTTCACTAGTTTCTTTCTCAAATTTAAGTCCAATTTTCTGGTAAAAGGATTCTTCTTCTTGCTAAATGCAGCTTTTGCCACGGCAATCCTAGATTTAATTTCACACGTACATCTTCCATCATCTGTTAACAAGCTACCCAAATATAGTATTTAAAACATTTCACATTCTCCAGTTGTTTTTGGTCTATATTTATTGTGACTAGGGTTGGTTGTCTCGAAATTTTCATTGCTTTTGTTTTCTCCACATTCATTTCCATGCCATAGCACCTTCCAATTTCAATTAATCTATCAATCATACCCTGTACCACAGTTTCTTTCTTAGCCATTAACACAAGGTCATCTGCATATTTCACAGTTTGAATAATTTTCCCTCCTAATTTGAAGTCTCCAAGCCCATCCGGAGCTTCTTTGGCATTCGCTGTACAAGTTGAACAAAATTTGTGATAAACAGCATCCTTGTCGAACTCCTCTTCCAATCTGCACACTTCTTGTCTCCCCTCTGTCCAGTCGTACTCTTAACTTTCTGAGCCATATACAATTTGCATTACATATAACTTTTAAGCTGCAATACACAACAGCTATACCATGTTGAAAACACCGGTTCTTGTCCGGCCACCGAAGTAAAGCATAATTGGACATGGTTAGTACTTGGATGGGTGACCTACTGGGAACACCACGTGATGTTGGGTTTTTTTTTGTAGGGCAAGTGAAGATTACTTGTATTGTACTGTGAAATTTTTTGAGACGTATGTGCTGTATCTTTATTGAATGTATGTCCGTTTTTGTAAGCACTGCCACCAGGCATAAGTCCAATTACAGTAAAAAAAATATATATATATCAATGTTTGTAAGCTAAGAATATTTTGTTTAACCGTTAGATTGCAATATTAGTGACAACGAACTTTAATTCACAATTTATGTACAACATAAAGTACGCTGTAACATTGAGACAGACACCAGTTTCTCTCATTTGCTGCAGTTGAGTTCGAGAAATAATTTGCCCTTTGCTTGCAATAGAAAAGCCGAAACATGTGAACGTCACAAAGCAGATAAAATACTTTTGAGTGGAGTGGTAATGAGGTCTCAGCAGTTGCTTGACCTCAGTCAATAATGACAGTCGTATCGATAAATCGATACATCGATATTCAAGTGTTTTCTCTGAAAGCTAGTTCATTAATCAAGATCGGAGATTTTATATAAATTCCTCACTTGATGAAACTCTGTAATCAGTAATTATCTAATGGGTTTGTTCGGTTTCTCCGGATATCCGCCAATATTGGTCTGTAAAGCCCGGTTCACATCGCAGCGCGAAAATATTTGCTTCAGTGCTAAAAGCATGAGCTTGTGTTGTTGGTCCACATGGAATATTTCAGCTACCTTCTGCAGACCACGGACTAACCGTCCTTGCAGAAATCTGGACTTATCAGAGAAGAAGGAAATGAGGTTTGAGATAATCTGCATGAAGTGAAGCTTCATGTCTTATACCTTCTAAGCACAGGCCAGTTATTATGGACAATTAAATGAGCGACCATGTAACATGCACGGGTATGGAGAGGTAGTGACAAGTAGAGGTTACATTTAGTTTAAATTCCTGAAAGAAAGGTACCGCTTGGGAGCTTTAGGCTTGCATGGGAGGATGCTGCTAAAATTGAGGTTAAAGGAATATTGTGTGAGGATGTGTGCTGGATTCATCTGGATCAGGGTACGGCTCAACGGAGTGATCTCATAAAACTTCAACTCCCCCCCAAAAAGGATTATAATTTCTTGACTAGTTGAAGGACTGTTAGGAACTTTTTAAGTAGGGGTTAATTAGAGAGGACTATAGCAAAAATAACAGCAACAAAAATACCAAAAGCAATTATGCGAATATTATATTGGATATTATATTTTTCCGCTAGCCTTCATCACTAGCTCTTCCTGACGGGTACTCCCCCATACCCCCTCTACATCTGATGGCGGAAACATTGTTTCCGGTAAGTTGTGTGCGCGTAATGTACTCTAGAGAATGGACAATATCTAATGTAAAGAAGGTTATAATTCCCTTGTGTCGCGATACGCTTTACTTCCTCACGGCTGGAGTGACAGTCTGCGCAGAACGTGCATCCTGAGGCAGCTTCTAGTTCAAATAAAGACTACAAATCAGGAGCGAGAATATGTCATGGCCGCCGTTTGCCCGCTGATAAGAGAACTTCTGAGCGAAAGGCAATGCTAATATTGCCATCTTACTTAACGTACAGTTGACATACGAGCTTTATGACCTAGTCGACCTCCTACGATTGATTATTTGAAATAAAAAACGATCTGGAGTACATGGGACTCCACCTCCACACCACTATATGCTTTAATCATGTTAGGCTTAGACTCAGCGATACATCTAATTATTAACAGAAGTCGAAGTTTCAAGGCTTCACACAGAAGTCAGCCAGTGGCCCCGGTGCTGAGCATAATATTATATATATTATAATTATACTATATAATATTAATATTATCATCCCATCCAATCACATGTGTTCGAAGTGGTATCTTTACTGTGAAGTGCTTCGACGAAAGTTTTACAAGTATGTGCCACTATCTGCATGCCTGTTACACGTTAATTTTATTTCAGCCTTCTAGATGTAAGCACTATAAACAATTACTCGTAGACGAAGACTATATAATATGAAGCTCTTGGATGTGTTATTTCCTCCAGTCCAATGTTCCTCAGTTGTTATTAGGTCAAAGTATTTCTTTCCACTCAATAATATCTCGTTTAGATTGATAAATTTAATGCTAAATATAAAGGGCTATGACAGAATTCAATCACCCAAACTGCCACTCCCAGCAGAAGCAAAACTCACTCGTCTGTGTGTCCACAGCGGCAACTGGACGTGAAGGGATACCAGTGCTCCAGCGACCTGAGGTACATCTTGTTTCGCCACAATGTCAAATCGGTGAGTATGAGCCAAATGACTGCCTGCCCACATATTGCAAAACGCAGGATAATGCACATAACCACCTTTATATGCCATTCTCTTTTATTTAAAATCCCTCCTCCTCTTAGCATAGTTCCATGGTAACAAATATGGCGAGTGTTGAAGAGCCACGATGAATTAATGTGAACTGCGTCCAGAGGCAGACGCTCGAAATACGTATCATTGCAAATGTTCAACAAATAATAGAAGTGCATTAACTTATGTAACTGTAGGTTTGACAGATTTTATATATCCAGGCAGAAGTACGTGTATTTAGAGTCAAGTAGGCACCTGAAATTTTTTCTAAAAAATTTTCGTCTCTACTCGATTTCTAGTTACTTTGTAAGGGTGAACGGAAGAATTGCGGTTTAGTTAAAAAGCGAGAGCCCTAGTCAAGAGGGAGGAAACACTGACGCGAAGGCAAACCTGGTGAATATTTCCTTGTGACAGACAGCCAGAACACAGAATACACGATAAGCCAGGGCAACACTGCAACTCATTTCCAACCGTGAGAGTATAGGGCCTGTACCACAGACCTCCATTGAAGCTCTTACGTATTTCCATGTATGCCAGGAATGGCTACTGAGTCTAGCCTGTAACTTGGGTACCCGTGCATACAATAATAGAACATGTGTCCAGATTTATACGTAGTATACCAATACTGAGTTGGACAAAATGTACTCTCTGAAATATATATCTAACTAGATCCTCGGAGGAGGGACCTCTTAAGAAGCCAATATTCGCTCTGCTGGTCAAGAAAATCCCGGTCTTTATGGAATCCTAAATTTTATTACCCTGTTAACAGCAACCCGCTACTAACCCTATTTTAAGCCAAATTTATCCAGTCCCAACCCTCGCACTCCATAAATTTAAGGACACATTTTTGTTGTCCGCCCGCACACCCTCGGTCTTTCAAGTGGTCTCTTCAGACCAACATATGAGAGAACATATATATCTGTATATGATTAATATATGTACATACGTAACATGTATACCTACATAGAATTATACCATAGATAATATGCAAAGTCCAATATACTATTCCAATAATAAATCAACCCTTGTCACAAACTTTAGGTACTAAAGATAAATTCTGCAGCAAATTCTAAAAAGTGCTTTACTCACCTGTCTGCAATCTCGCTGCTATGTTTGCGAGAGCAGATGGACGGTGAACCCATTATAGTCTGTGCATGACTTACAAGAACAGAAATGCATAGCATAAAAACATCGTTTTATTTCGTAAACCACAATTTGTATTATGTTCATATAAATCGGATACAAATTTGTATATGGTGCCAGAGAGTTATCCGAAAATAATTAAACATTTAAAATGCGATTTGTGAGATTGAAGCCGACCAAAGTGACTTACCAACATAAATAATCATAATTCAACATAAATGTAACAACAGAGTGGGCACCAATATGCAAACAAATGGGGCGAAGGCCTGGGCTCCAGATGAAGAAACGAACTACATCTAGATAGGGCTGTCGTAGAGGTTGATACCCAGCTGCTGGTTTAAATGTCAAGATATTTATTTTAAAAGATCTAAGTTTAAAGTGTAAGGCCCTTAATAAAATATATAAAATATGCTTTAAAGCATTTATTGTAATGTGAGAACTGAGGTTCTCTGTTTGCGTTGGAGATGGTCGCATCAGACTCCTCTGAAATACTGGTTCCTATCTAACTACAATACTCGGTGTCCAGAAGAAAGGGATCTTAATTCACTTATTATTATTTCCTTCAAAATATTTCATTCCTTTTAAGTATTACTATCTCGAAAATACTTCAAAGAAGATATTTTTAAAATGTAATAGGTAATAGCGGCTCCGGTCTAGAAAACCGAAATAAATGGCCGTGGAAATTCGTTGCGCTGTCCACGAGACACCCTCTATCCGCAAAAGTTTGCACTAAACTTCGCCGACAAGAGGCGGTCGCTCGGTCGGTATAGTTCGCTTGCGGACTAAAATCACGGAGTTTTATTATATGACAGGTTCTATGTACATTGAAATTTTAAGAATATCAAGTTCGTTTAATTTCCAGTCTCTTCGAGATGAATGCGTCAGCCTCTTTAAGTAAGTGCATCTCGTCAGCCGTTCTTCATTAAGTTACATTTTGGGATTGTAAAGATACCAGTAAGTAACAACGAATTCGAATTCGTGCCATTTCTTTCGACATAGAGTTGCGTATCGGCTGCACAGGACTCTTGTTCTTAGGATGGAATGACTGATCTAGCTAATTCTGGAACAACACTGCATATTTTACGAAGAATGGAAGCATTGTTGCAGAGCTAATTAACAGAAATATACCACAACGCGTTGATATAAATAGGGAAATATTTCCTTGCAAAGAAAATAATTAAATTTATTCCCCTGAATTTCGTTAAATAGGCTACTCACATCTGTCGAAATATGTCACAAATCAGAGTGAAAATTACTATGAGGGACATACGACAACAAGAACTTCAGGTGAAGGAAACTTACATAAGAGTTAACGTCGAATTATATCAAATTCGCTGATGGAGTCATAATATAAGACAAAACTTTATTAGATCTTTCTGTAAAATCAAAATTGCTTAAAAGAAATTTGTTTAGGTCTATCATACCAAATTTCATTAAAACCTAGGAGATCGTCTGTGTGCTACTGACGGACACATAAGAAGTAAATTAACAGGTGCTTTTAGAGGGGTTTTACAAAATGGGCCAAATATTTCTCTCTTCTAGCACTTGTTTCCTCCTGCTTTGCTCAAATATGAAGTTACTAAAGCAATGAGTACTCCAACGTGGACTGGAATTTTTCTGCTGTTTCTGCGTTGTAATTTTTCCGTTCTTTATCCTCTGTATGTAATTAGACAGCTGTAACGTCTTCTGCGTCCTTCATTATACATATGTACGTGCATAACCCCGGTCGGGGCGAAAGACTTGCATATTATGTAACTGCCTCATTCCTCTTTTCGTCTCTTTCTTTTTAAGCTTTATGGCTCCAGAATTTTATACAAACTTCTTGCAAATCAGAAAAAAGGCAACTGTTTCATATAGCAGTGGATAAAACTACTAGAAAAGAAAATTGCATTTATAAATTGAAGAAAAGAAAACAGGAAGCTGTGTAATCAACATAAAGATGAGAACAGAAAGTTATGATTATGACATTTCTAAGACCGCCAAAATATATAGACTGGGAAAATTTAAAAAGTGAAATATTTTGAATTGTAAAATTATCTTCTTTTCATAAAATATACTAAACAAATTAAAATTATTTAACTCGTTCAAATTTACATTAAAAATCTTTCACACACGCCATAAATAACTGGACTCATTCTTTTCGTATGAAAACGTTTGAGTGAATTTTGTAACAAACATTACAATATAAAATTTGTTCTGCAGTCTGATAAACATAAACCATTCAATTAAAGGTAACTAAATTCTGTATTATTACAGACACTCGTTTAATAACTGGTTATATTTCTGTCTTTTTCTGCTTTTTTTCAGCAAAATCAGCAGAATATTAATATTTTAATTAATTTGCAACCTATGATCTGACACATGTTTGCATGTGCAGGTTTTTGCACGCAGTAGTCAAAGCACCGAACTGATGATTATCTCACACACACAAAATTATTATGGGAAACTAAGCGTGTCGGAAATATATGCTCTTAAACAGTAAACAAATGCTTGCGTCCTACAGAATGAGATATTTACAGCAATGCTTGAAACACATTGAATTATTTGACGTTGCCTTTATCTTTTCATGAGTGGAGTAACACAGCGCTAGCAGTGGGTCTGCAGTCCTTTGTGCACTCAAAACTGACGAATCAGCATAAGCACACTATTTAATACAAAATTTAGCTTATGCATATGCCTAAACAGATCATACTCATTGCAGCCACGATTTTCGACTCATTCTCAACGCTGTGGAGCCTAAAAATTTCGAAACTTCCGCTCTTATCCGTCCGTACGCAGAAAACAATTTGAAAACCGAAGAATGCCATCTTTTTGGATGTGGCTGCAGTCATGCGATCAAGCATATTCCTTGCTCACGGATCTTTCTATCCTGAAGGTGGAGGCGATACGTTCCACCGAAACGTCGGTTCACATAAGATCTACACGGCGCCACATCCCAGAAGACGGCAGTCTTAATGGTCACGGCCGTGGAACCCTCAAATCTTGCAATTTGAAAACTGCTAAACGGATTTAAAGAAATTTGACATAATTGGTTTTAATACTATTTTTCCATCAATTCCAGTTTGTTTAAAATAGGACAAAAATTGCTGACACCTACGTGAGATACAGTACATGCGCAACTCGTTAAGAGTTTGTAGGAGACAGGATTATTTCGAACGTACGTAGGAGAGAAGAATGGAACTCCCTCTTTTTATCCAACATATTCTTTCGACATTCATGCGGTTATCGAAATAATTAAAAGGATGTTATGAATATTTCGCTACTCGTGTACACGGCGGTCACCGTGATCTCTCGATCGCGACCGAAGACTAATGCGCTCACTTGTTCTCGATAATAATTACACGAAGCTTCCTCCCATCTAAATATATTGGTTCACTAGCGAAACGCCCACTGACAATCCATCGGGAAGTCCCATCATTTGTTACACAATCTTTCATACCATCAACTTCCACTTCCTTCTCCCGTATCCCTCTCCAGTTCTACGTGCCGTAAATTGCCGCATCTAGTCCGACATTTAAAGCCAGCTTCTATGAATAACACGCTCAGGTAGTCAGCCGTGAACAGTCTCCTCTATGTAGCATATTATGCTTCGTATATCCATATTAAAATAATATCTTTACTCACTGAATAGGCGGGGCACGCGGTAGGGTTGTGGTTAAGGGGCTATGCTACAAGCCGGAAGGTCGCGGGTTCAAGTCCCGATGAGGTCATTGGATTTTTTTCAGTTGACCTGATTCTTCCGGCCGCACTAGGCCCTAACAGAAATGAGTACCAGGAATTAATTAAATAATTTTCCTGGG